ACCATTGTAAATACATCCCATATTTATGTTTATTTATTTTCCCATTTGTACTTTAACTATTTGCACATTGTTACAACACTGTATATATACATAATATGACATTTGAAATGTCTTTATTCTTTTGGAACCTCTGAGTGTAATGTTTACTGTTAATATTTATTGTTTATTTTACTTTTGTTTACTATAGCCCTTAAATTAAATTGAATTGAAATTGAGAGAGAGAGCGAGAGAGAGAGAGAACCAGTGAAGAACAAACACCATTGTAAATACAACCCATATTTATGTTTATTTATTTTCCCTTTTGTACTTTAACTATTTGCACATAATATGACATTTGAAATGTCTTTATTCTTTTTGAACTTTTGTGAGTGTAATGTTTACTGTTAATTTTTTTATTGTTTTTTTTTCACTTTTGTTTATTATATATTTCACTTGCTTTGGCAATGTAAACATGTGTTTCCCATGCCAATAAAGCCCTTAAATTGAATTGAATTGAATTGAGAGGCAGAGAGACAGAGAGACAGAGAGACAGAGAGACAGAGAGACAGAGAGAGAGAAAAGGGGGGGGGGTAGATGAGAGACAGTAACAGAGTGAGAGAAATAATTTGAGTGAGTGTGAGTGAGTGAGAGCTATAGAAATTGCTTTACATTCTCAACTAATTAGGCAAGTTGGGGGAGAGAAAAAGAGAGATAGGCTGAAATTGGGTGTGTCTTTTGAGGATATCCTCTGCTATGCTGCTGTGTTCGCACCAGTGAGCTCTGCTATCGTGCCAAGGTGCCAGGGGAGGGGGAAGGGGTGGTATTTGGCATCCAGGGGTAGACAGGGACTGCTATAAGAGTTATGGGAAGGCAGGGACTGGCACAGGAGTTCGGGGGAGGCAGGGGGAGGTTGGGGGAGGAGGGTTGGTGTTAGTTGGCATGGCCAGGGGAGGTTGTGAGAGGAGGGTTGGAGTTTAGTTGGCATGGCCAGTTGAGACATGAGGGCAGGGACTGGCATCAGGAAGTCTTTAAGAAGAGTCATAACAACTGCCTCTGTTTTTGCACAAGAGAGCGAGAGCGAGAGCGTGCGCGCGCGAGAGAGAGAGAGAGAGAGAGAGAGAGAGAGAGAGAGAGAGAGAGAGAGAGAGAGAGAGAGAGAGAGAGAGAGAGAGAGAGAGAGAGAGAGAGAGAGAGAGAGAGAGAGAGACAACGGGAAGGAGAGAAAAAAAAGGGGAGTTAGAGAAAGGGAGGGAAGGAGGGAAGGAGGGACAGAGGGAGGGAGGGGATAGTTGTAGTTTTCCACAGCGAGAGAGAGAGAGAGGAAGCTGACAGAGTCTCAGTCACTGCACACAAATATTCCCAGGCCTGTTTTCCAACAAAAGGCACACACCATGACTACCATGACTCATTCATGACTCATACCACATGGATGTGGCCGGACATATACACACACGGCACATTGCATGCACGCATACACACAAAAACACACATTAAAATATATGCCATTTAGCAGCACGGAGCACAGACACACACATACACACTCACATACACGCACACACACACACAAACACACACACACACACACACACACACACACACACACACACACACACACACACACACTCACACACACACTATACAAAACATACACACTAGTTTCATCAATATAGCTTGCTAGCTTGTCCCTCCTTTTCAGTAAACATGACCGTCTCTCCACCACTGTGTTTGTATGCGCGTCTTTTTGTGTGTGTATGTGTACGTGTGTGCGAGAGAGCTCACTGTTTTACCAGCACCTACAGTGAACAAACAGAGAGACCATTGATGTACAGTATGTCTCATATTGCCTGTTCCCTGGTTGCAGCTCTCATTGAACCTGGTTAAATAAAGGGAAGGATGGATTTCTCTACTACAATAACCACAACACAGTGTGATGACATCAGTGGTGTTATTCATGCTCTCACTCTATTCCAGCACCACATAGAGCCAAAAACACAGCTAATAAACGGCAGCAGAACAGGTTTTGCACATGTAGTGGGTGTTGGCCTGCTTTAGTGTTTATGAGTACTTAGAGAGGGCAGAGCAAAGTTGACTTTAGCTTTAGTGTTCACAAAATAATACCTGAAATACGTCTGTACAGGGACAGAGAAATAAAATGAGCAGAAAAGAGACTGGTGTGGCGAGTGGAGAGAAACCCAACTCTCATCTGTCTTTCATTTAGCTGAAGACATGTTCCAATTCCACTCAGATTCTGTCTTTCATTTAGCTGAAGACATGTTCCAATTTCACTCAGATTCTGTCTTTCATTTAGCTGAAGACATGTTCCAATTTCACTCAGATTCTGTCTTTCATTTAGCTGAAGACATGTTCCAATTTCACTCAGATTCTGTCTTTCATTTAGCTGAAGACATGTTCCAATTCCACTCAGATTCTGTCTTTCATTTAGCTGAAGACATGTTCCAATTCCACTCAGATTCTGTCTTTCATTTAGCTGAAGACATGTTCCAATTCCACTCAGATTCTGTCTTTCATTTAGCTGAAGACATGTTCCAATTTCACTCAGATTCTGTCTTTCATTTAGCTGAAGACATGTTCCAATTTCACTCAGATTATGTCTTTCATTTAGCTGAAGACATGTTCCAATTTCACTCAGATTCTGTCTTTCATTTAGCTGAAGACATGTTCCAATTCCACTCAGATTCTGTCTTTCATTTAGCTGAAGACATGTTCCAATTTCACCCAGATTCTGTCTTTCATTTAGCTGAAGACATGTTCCAATTTCACTCAGATTCTGTCTTTCATTTAGCTGAAGACATGTTCCAATTTCACTCAGATTCTGTCTTTCATTTAGCTGAAGACATGTTCCAATTCCACTCAGATTCTGTCTTTCATTTAGCTGAAGACATGTTCCAATTCCACTCAGATTCTGTCTTTCATTTAGCTGAAGACATGTTCCAATTTCACTCAGATTCTGTCTTTCATTTAGCTGAAGACATGTTCCAATTTCACTCAGATTCTGTCTTTCATTTAGCTGAAGACATGTTCCAATTTCACTCAGATTATGTCTTTCATTTAGCTGAAGACATGTTCCAATTCCACTCAGATTCTGTCTTTCATTTAGCTGAAGACATGTTCCAATTCCACTCAGATTGTGTCTTTCATTTAGCTGAAGACATGTTCCAATTTCACTCAGATTCTGTCTTTCATTTAGCTGAAGTCATGTTCCAATTTCACTCAGATTCTGTCTTTCATTTAGCTGAAGACATGTTCCAATTTCACTCAGATTCTGTCTTTCATTTAGCTGAAGACATGTTCCAATTTCACTCAGATTCTGTCTTTCATTTAGCTGAAGACATGTTCCAATTCCACTCAGATTCTGTCTTTCATTTAGCTGAAGACATGTTCCAATTTCACTCAGATTCTGTCTTTCATTTAGCTGAAGACATGTTCCAATTTCACTCAGATTCTGTCTTTCATTTAGCTGAAGACATGTTCCAATTCCACTCAGATTCTGTCTTTCATTTAGCTGAAGACATGTTCCAATTTCACTCAGATGCTGTCTTTCATTTAGCTGAAGACATGTTCCAATTTCACTCAGATTCTGTCTTTCATTTAGCTGAAGACATGTTCCAATTTCACTCAGATTCTGTCTTTCATTTAGCTGAAGACATGTTCCAATTTCACTCAGATTCTGTCTTTCATTTAGCGGAAGACATGTTCCAATTTCACTCAGATTCTGTCTTTCATTTAGCTGAAGACATGTTCCAATTTCACTCAGATTCTGTCTTTCATTTAGCTGAAGACATGTTCCAATTCCACTCAGATTCTGTCTTTCATTTAGCTGAAGACATGTTCCAATTCCACTCAGATTCTGTCTTTCATTTAGCTGAAGACATGTTCCAATTCCACTCAGATTCTGTCTTTCATTTAGCTGAAGACATGTTCCAATTTCACTCAGATTCTGTCTTTCATTTAGCTGAAGACATGTTCCAATTTCACTCAGATTCTGTCTTTCATTTAGCTGAAGACATGTTCCAATTTCACTCAGATTCTGTCTTTCATTTAGCGGAAGACATGTTCCAATTTCACTCAGATTCTGTCTTTCATTTAGCTGAAGACATGTTCCAATTTCACTCAGATTCTGTCTTTCATTTAGCTGAAGACATGTTCCAATTTCACTCAGATTCTGTCTTTCATTTAGCTGAAGACATGTTCCAATTCCACTCAGATTCTGTCTTTCATTTAGCTGAAGACATGTTCCAATTCCACTCAGATTCTGTCTTTCATTTAGCTGAAGACATGTTCCAATTTCACTCAGATTCTGTCTTTCATTTAGCTGAAGACATGTTCCAATTTCACTCAGATTCTGTCTTTCATTTAGCTGAAGACATGTTCCAATTTCACTCAGATTCTGTCTTTCATTTAGCTGAAGACATGTTCCAATTTCACTCAGATTCTGTCTTTCATTTAGCTGAAGACATGTTCCAATTTCACTCAGATTCTGTCTTTCATTTAGCTGAAGACATGTTCCAATTTCACTCAGATTCTGTCTTTCATTTAGCTGAAGACATGTTCCAATTTCACTCAGATTCTGTCTTTCATTTAGCTGAAGACATGTTCCAATTCCACTCAGATTCTGTCTTTCATTTAGCTGAAGACATGTTCCAATTCCACTCAGATTCTGTCTTTCATTTAGCTGAAGACATGTTCCAATTTCACTCAGATTCTGTCTTTCATTTAGCTGAAGACATGTTCCAATTTCACTCAGATTCTGTCTTTCATTTAGCTGAAGACATGTTCCAATTCCACTCAGATTCTTCCATTTGTAATTAAGCCTCCTCATATGTATAAACCTCTGGCTGACTCTGAAAACACACATAGACACACACACACACGGTCCTAAGGTTGGCACCAAACTAGTTGTAGTGAAACATTTTCTCTCCTCAGATCCACAACACACATCCCAACTGTAGTGGATGTTTAGTAAACCATGTCCATTGACAGCAATTAACAGTAATGTTACCATGTCGTATTTTGCTACCGACGAAACCAAGACAAGTCTAAGATATCTGACTGTCAATGTTAGTTGGCTGAGAAAGTTTTACAGGGTAAGAGCCTGAACAGAGCAGCAGACCAGACTGGTACTGTTAAGAGCATTCCTGTGGTCAGCTGTGCTCCAGTCATACTCTTGTAGTTCATTGTAGTTCCATGCTGTGGTGGGTGGCAGTTGGATTCTTTGCTTTCTGCTTTTTTCCCTTCTGTACAGTACCACGTCAACCCTTCCCTGGTTCTATCTTTGACACGAAGGATCAATGTTTTCTGTTTGTAACATTTTATTTTGTTTTAATGGAGCAGAAATGTCATTGATAGTTTCTGAGTGTCAGGGCAGCTTACAGTCGGATAATTTCTTGCTCAGCTGAAATATGTGTTTTCAAATCACAGATAATTTGTTTAACCCATGGATTTCCCCACTTCATAGATGATACTATATTACAGTTTTCCACTACCGCTACTATTACGCTCCCTGGCAGACCAGAAGGGGTTCTAAACTAAAGGTCTTCTATCAGACTGGCTGTCCCACCCTGGAATTGAAATCCTCGCTGTTTCATGTTTAAACATCAACCAGTCTCAAACCCAAACCACATGAAAGGCGTGAATGCGTGCGTTTCTGTGTGTCTGCTTGCATGTGTGTGTGTGTGTGTGTGTGTGTGTGTGTGTGTGTACATGCCTAAGAATGTGAGTCCTAAAGCCTAAAGAAATATCTCTTCCAAACGTTCCAGAAAACAGGACTAAGTCTCTGTCAGATGTTGCTGCTGTTATGTTTGTTGTGTTGTCTTATTCAGATCAAAAGTATTTGTGTTTGAGAATGTGAAGTCGTCAAGATATAAAACAATAGCCGCCCCAGGGGCACACACACACACTCACACACACAGAGAAATTCTATTGCAGTGAGTCACCAACTTTGTTACACAATGACACAAACTTAACTGAATTTATTCTCCTGACTCCACCCCCACCCCCTCTCTCTCGCTCGCTCTTGCTCTCTCTCTTCCCTCTCTTCCCCCTCTCCCCCCCCCCTCTCTTCCCACTCTCCCTTTCCCTCTATCTCTATCTGTCTCTCTCTCCCCCCTCTTTCTCTCTAGAGTTAGAGGGCTAATAACATCGTATCCATAGAAATCATTAATTCAGCCCCTCCCTCATTTAGCACTATAACAACTAGCATAGAGCTGCCACTTAATTTTTTTTTTTTTCACCTTTATTTAACCAGGTAAGCCAGTTGAGAACAAGTTCTCATTTACAACTGCGACCTGGCCAAGATAAAGCAAATGTCACGATCGTCAGGGAGAGACCAAGGCGCAGCGTGATGAACGAACATACTTTAATTAGTTAAAGTGTAAACACAATACAAAACAATAAACGACTCGTGAAGTCCACGGTATCAATGACCGAACACGGAACAAAAACCCACAAACACAAAGGGAAAACATACAGTTTAAATATGGCTCCCAATCAGAGACAACCAGCCCACAGCTGACACTCGTTGCCTCTGATTGGGAGTCACTCAGGCAAAACATAGAAATCAACAAACTAGAACCCCCAACATAGAAATAAACCACATAGAATGAACACACCCTGGCTCAACATATGGAGTCCCCGAACCAGGGTGTGACAGTACCCCCCCCTAAAGGCGCGGACTGCGACCGCGCCTCAAAAAGAGCAAAACAGGGGAGGGCTGGGTGGGCATACCTCCTCGGCGGCGGTTCTGGCTCCGGCCTTGCCCACCACCCTCCAACAAACCCCCCATAGCGCCCCTGGTCCGGTCTGGCCCCGCTGGCTGGAGCTGGACTGGACGTAGCAGGAGCGGTTAGCTTCAACTCCGTAGTGGAGCCGTTGACCGGTACCTGGTTAGGCACCGGTGACCCAGGCACGGGTTGTGCCGGACAGACGACGCGCACCCCTGGCTTGGTGCGTGAGGCAGGAAAGGACCGGACCTGGCTGACGATGCGCACCCCTGGCTTGGTGCGTGGAGCCGGAACGGGCCTCACCGGACTGACGACTCGCACCCCTGGCTTGGTGCGAGTGGCAGGAACGGGCTGGACCAGGCTGATGACTCGCACCCCTGGCTTGTTGCGAGTAGCAGGAACGGGCTGGACCAGGCTGACGACTCGCACCCCTGGCTTGGTGCGAGTAGCAGGAACGGGCTGGACCAGGCTGACGACTCGCACCCCTGGCTTGGTGCGAGTGGCAGGAACGGGCTGGACCAGGCTGACGACTCGCACCCCTGGCAGGAACAGGCCGGGCCGGGCTGCACCCCTGGCAGGAGTGGCAGGAACAGGCCGGGCCGGCTGGCGACGCGCACCGTATACTTGGTGCGAGTGGCAGGAACAGGCCGGGCCGGGCTGGCGACGCGCACCGTATACTTGGTGCGAGTGGCAGGAACAGGCCGGGCCGGCGACGCGCACCGTATACTTGGTGCGTAGAGCAGGAACAGGCCGGGCCGGGCTGGCGACGCGCACCGTATACTTGGTGCGAGTGGCAGGAACAGGCCGGGCTGGCGACGCGCACCGTATACTTGGTGCGAGTGGCAGGAACAGGCCGGGCCGGGCTGGCGACGCGCACCGTGTACTTGGTGCGTAGAGCAGGGACAGGCCGGACTGGGCTGGCAACGCACACCGTATACTTGGTGCGAGTGGCAGGAACAGGCCGGGCAGGGCTGGCGACGCGCACCGTATACTTGGTGCGAGTGGCAGGAACAGGCCGGGCCGGGCTGGCAACGCGCACCGTATACTTGGTGCGTAGAGCAGGAACAGGCCGGGCCGGGCTGGCGACGCGCACCGTATACTTGGTGCGAGTGGCAGGAACAGGCCGGGCCGGGCTGGCGACGCGCACCGTATACTTGGTGCGAGTGGCAGGAACAGGCCGGGCCGGGCTGGCGACGCGCACCGTATACTTGGTGCGTAGAGCAGGAACAGGCCGGGCCGGGCTGGCGACGCGCACCGTATACTTGGTGCGAGTGGCAGGAACAGGCCGGGCCGGGCTGGCGACACGCACCGTATACTTGGTGCGAGTGGCAGGAACAGGCCGGGCCGGGCTGGCGACGCGCACCGTGTACTTGGTGCGTAGAGCAGGGACAGGCCGGACTGGGCTGGCAACGCGCACCGTATACTTGGTGCGTAGAGCAGGGACAGGCCGGGCTGGGCTGGCGACGCACACCGTAGGCTTGGTGCGTGGAGCAGGGACAGGCCGGACTGGGCTGGCGACGCGCACCGTATACTTGGTGCGTAGAGCAGGGACAGGCTGGACTGGGCTGGCGACGCACACCGTAGGCTTGGTGCGTAGAGCAGGGACAGGCCGGGCTGGGCTGGCGACGCACACCGTAGGCTTGGTGCGTGGAGCAGGGACAGGCCGGACTGGGCTGGCGACGCACACCGTAGGCTTGGTGCGTGGAGCAGGGACAGGCCGAACCGGGCTGGCGACGCACACCGTAGGCTTGGTGCGTGGAGCAGGGACAGGCCGAACCGGGCTGTGGAGACGGATAGGAGACCTGGAGTGAAGAGCGGCCACAACCCGTCCTGGCTGAATGCCTACCCTCACACACTCTGTGTGAGGCATCCGCACAGGACGTACAGGGCGGTGTATCCGTAACCTGGTGGCCTTCTGGATCCGCCCCTTTTCTGCCCCCGTCAGCCCCGTCGTTCATGCCGTGTGCCCCCCCCTAAAAATGTTCTGGGGTTGCCTCTCGACCGTCCGACGACGACCCTGATCACGCCGTTGCTCCTCTCTCCGTCGCCTCTCCACTGTCTCACTCCATGGCCGGCGATCCATCCCGGCCAGGATTTCCTCCCAAGTCCAGGACCCTTTACCGTCCAATATCTCCTCCCATGTCCAGGCTGCCTGCTCCTCTCTACGGCGCGCCTCCACCGTCTCTTCTCCCGGCGCTTCCTCCCATGTCCAGCCCAAGAGCTGCCCCTGGACACGCTGCTTGGTCGTTGCATGGTGGGTTCTTCTGTCACGATCGTCAGGGAGAGACCAAGGCGCAGCGTGATGAACGAACATACTTTAATTAGTTAAAGTGTAAACACAATACAAAACAATAAACGACTCGTGAAGTCCACGGTATCAATGACCGAACACGGAACAAAAACCCACAAACACAAAGGGAAAACATACAGTTTAAATATGGCTCCCAATCAGAGACAACCAGCCCACAGCTGACACTCGTTGCCTCTGATTGGGAGTCACTCAGGCAAAACATAGAAATCAACAAACTAGAACCCCCAACATAGAAATAAACCACATAGAATCTCTATTTGCACATAATCTCTTGCATATCTAGCATTCCAGTGTTAATACTATTGTAATTATTCTGCACTATAGCCTATTTATTGCCTTACCTCCATAACTTGCTACATTTGCACACACTGTATATATATTTTCTGTTGTATTTCTGACTTTATGTTTTTTACCCCATATGTAACTCTGTGTTGTTTTTTATTGCACTACTTTGCTTTATCTTGGCCAGGTCGCAGTTGTAAATGAGAACCTGTTCTCAACTGGCTTACCTGGTTAAATAAAGGTGAAATAAAAAAATAATTTAAAAAAACACACCCTGGCTCAATATATGGAGTCCCCGAACCAGGGTGTGACAGCAAAGCAGTGCGATAAAAACAACAACACAGAGTTACATATGGGGTAAAACAAAACAAAGTCAAAAATACAACAGAAATAAGTATATATACAGTGTGTGCAAATGTAGCAAGTTATGGAGGTAAGGCAATAAATAGGCTATAGTGCAAAATAATTACAATTAGTATTAACACTGGAATGATAGATGTGCAAGAGATGATGTGCAAATAGAGATACTGGGGTACAAATAAGCAAAATAAATAACAATATAGGGATGAGGTAGTTGGGCGGGCTAATTTCAGATGGGCTGTGTACAGGTGCAGTGATCGGTAAGGTGCTCTGACAACTGATGCTTAAAGTTAGTGAGGGAGATAAGTGTCTCCAGCTTCAGAGATTTTTGCAATTTGTTCCAGTCATTGGCAGCAGAGAACTGGAAGGAATGGCGGCCAAAGGAGGTGTTGGCTTTGGGGATGACCAGTGAGATATACCTGCTGGAGCGCATACTACGGGTGGGTGTTGCTATGGTGACCAATGAGCTAAGATAAGGCGGGGATTTGCCTAGCAGTGGTTTATAGATAGCCTGGAGCCAGTGGGTTTGGCGACGAATATGTAGTGAGGACCAGCCAACAAGAGCGTACAGGTCACAGTGGTGGGTAGTATATGGGGCTTTGGAGACAAAACGGATGGCACTGTGATAGACTACATCCAATTTGCTGAGTAGAGTGTTGGAGGCTATTTTGTAAATGACATCGCCGAAGTCAAGGATCGGTAGGATGGTCAGTTTTAATCACTGTGACTATAGCAGCTGTACACACACACACACACACACACACACACACACACACACACACACACCATCATGGCATCATATATAGTTTCCTCCCAATCAAATATTTAAAAAGCTAATGCAAATACACAGCCTTACTCCCTTTACACAGACACAGTTTGTCATTGTCAGGACACACACAAAGACACACACACACACACACACACACACACACACACACACACACACAGGAGAGGATGGCAAAGAAAGACTAATATCCCTCTAGTTGACCTTTTCACAAACACACCTGATGTTAATGTGCAGCCAGGTATAAGGGCATCATTGTAGTGAGGATATTAGTGTGTACAGTACAGGGATATGTTAAGGATGGGCTGGAGGAGATCAGTATCATTAAGGTATATGCTTTATGGCATTAACTGTGCTGGGCAGACAATAGAGCACAAGGCAAACAGGGATACTCCATTCTTCTTTCTCTAAACTGGTTCTGGATAGAACCAAAAAGGGTTCTATTGCTTGGCACCTCTGAAGGTTCTACATAGAACCCTTTTGTAGGGTTCTTTGATAAGAACCCTGGGGGTTCTTCTTCACTGAAACAAAATGGGTTCCATATAGGATTATATATGGAACCAATTTCGGTTCTTTATTGAACCTTAAGGGGTGCCATATACAGTATGAAGCAAGCATAGAACCCTTTTTGGTTCTATTCAGAATCTTCTTTCTCTAGAGCTGAGATGGGTTCCAGGAAGTGGTGATGGTTGTGAGTGAGTGTTTGTGGTGCCTGTTGCTGTAATCATGCCCACACAACACCACCTACCCCTCAGAGAAGCATGTGATATTAGTCTGACTGCTATTACACACAAGCAGGCGCGCGTACACTCACTCACCCACACATACACACACACACACACACACACACACACACACACAAGACTGATTGATGTAGAACTAGAGTGGTACTTTAAAATGGGACCATCACTATCCTGCCTAGTTGCATACTAACAAAATGAAGTCCTCTCTCTCTCTCTCTCTCTCTCTCTCTCTCTCTCTCTCTTTTCTCTTTCTCTCTCTCTCTCTCTCTCTCTCTCTCTCTCTCTCTCTCTCTCTCTCTCTCTCTCTCTTTCTCTAGTGTAAGGTGAAAGTCTTATGTGTGGTGTGTTGCCCATGAGATAAAGGATAAATGACCAGTCCTTGACATGGGCAGCAGCTCACTGGAGCTGAGTACCGGCACCTCAAATTGCCTACTGCTTGAGCTCCTGTTCCTCTTATAGAATATTAACTCAAAAGTATTGTGGAGCTCCTGCACCTAAACACAAACAGTAGTGGCACCCAAAATGAGTACTGGAACCTATTTCAGTCAAGCACTGTAAATAAGTCACACCACCATGTGTGTGATGCCTCTGCTCACAGGGTGTTGTGTGTGTGTGTGTGCCTGTATGTGTTTGTATGTATGTGTAGTTTCATAGGGCGTGTCACCTGTAGTCACTAGATGGCCATGCTAAACAGGACAAACGTGTCTGAATTTATATAGAAAAGCACTTTAACTATTTGTTAGTCCGGTCATTTGACAGGCCCCATTCAATCAAAACCTCTATCCCGTTTTCGGGGGTGAGAGAAAAAATTAAATGAGTAAGATGTTCTACTTTAGAATTGTACGATTCACAATATCCCTGAGGGGTCTATGGAACCAGTCAGCCAGTAAGGTAGCCCTACTGGTTAGTTTGGCCAGTTTGGAAATGTCATAATAAACACTATAATCACTGCAGTTTGAATAGTAAGGTTCAATCACATGAGTTATAGAATCATTTAACTGAAAAGTTGTTGGATGAATAACTACAGTCAGAATAAGAGGTATTCACTCTCATTCAAAGACATTAGACATATGCAGGGATATCTCCTCTCTGTGTGTTTTGAGGTTTCTGTTGTTGTTGTTTTATAGGGGGAGTTAGGTTACTATGGTGATACATTCATGTGAAGTAATTATTAACTTTAGAAAGTAAATATACCTAGTATAATTTGGGTGTTACTGTGAAAAGCTCTGTTTGTAAATATAATTTAGTGAGACATTTAGCATGACATATTTAAGGTGGAACTGAGAGATGATAAAAATTACTATTTGATGAGAGTCTAACATTTAGGGACCTTAAGTCACTAGTTTACATTAAGAAGGGAACAGAACATTGCAGTTTCCATTTCCCTCAGATAAAGAGAAAGGGAGAGGGAGAGGGGAGGGGAGGGGCAGGGAAAGAGAGAGAGTGGGGTGTGGCGATCACTGTTTAAAACCAACAGCCCACCCCTCTCTTCCTCACTCCCTCTAAATTCCTCTCTCTCTGACTCTGTCCAACTCCTCGCACAACTTCGGTGAGTGAAAACTAAACCTAGAAAAACTTTTACCTGAGTGCCTCGCTGCTAAAATGCTTCAGTTTGTTTTAGCTGCGTGTCTCTGATATGTTAGATGCACAGAATTATACATTATCATTGGGTGGTTTATAGCATTTATTTGCAATTGTGTGTAGTTTAATGTTTTATAGTGATTAATACTTGACTGCAAAAGTTTGAATGACTTCAGGGTGTACTTTGCAACAGTTAGTAATTGCCTGTCTGCACTGTTTGTGATCTGGAGCCAAGCTCTGCGGACTGCGTAACTCTGTCTGCCTGTCCATTCAGACACGTGCGGGTGCTACTCAGAGCACTACGCAGTTTAGATGAAGAATCCCGCTTCTCTTCCTCCTCTCCTCCCCTCTTTCTCCCTCAATCCTTCCGTAGTGCAGAACACTACCTCTTTCTATCCTCCACACCCCCCTCTCACTCCCTCCCTCTCTCTTTCCTTCCCTCTGTCCTTACCATAAACTCTCTCTCTTTCTCTCTCTCTCTCTCTCTCTCTCTCTCTCTCTCTTTCTCTCTCTCTCTCGCTCCAACCATTCTGTGAGTAGAGTGTGTTTCTAGTTATCAGATGGGGGTAAGAAGGTGTGTCTGGTCGGCTGCCTGCCAGTCCTGGGGCAGCTGACAGTGACTCAGAGAGAGATCAGTGGAGTCCAGCACAGTGACTGGCATTGTTCCATACAACTATATTTTTGTGCTTAGCATGCTTGTACTGTACGGTTGCTTCAGCGTCCTTATTTGACTGCCCTTACTGCAAGTCACTCTGGAGAGGAGGGTCAGCTAAATGAGTGATTTACGTTACAGACGCTTCCTTAAACTCAGAAGCGTCACCCCACCTAGATTATGGGTAGGCAGAGAAGAGAGAATCCTCCATACATAGTGCGGAGATATGTCAAGGGACAGAGTGAAGAGACACACCTTAACCAAACTAGATAGAAAGGGGGTGGGGGAGGTTGTGAGATTTCTACGTTATTGTTTGCCTGAAATTACCAACCTGCCTTTCAGCCTATCCACCAATTTCCTCCCATCTGTCTTTCTGTGTGTGTCTCTCTCTCTCTCTCTCTCTATCCTTTCTTTCTCTCCTTAAAAGCCCCCAGAGTTAATGAGAGAGACATGCAAGGGCGTTGGCTAGAGCCATGCCTGTTTGTGTTTGAACAACTCACCCCCCTCTTCTCTCCCTTTCTCCCCTCCATATCCGCCTCTCTCTCTCTTCCTTCTCTCTCCGCCTCGCTAATTGCCTCTGTTGCGTTGCTCTCCATCTCTCCTCCCCCTCTCTTTCTCTTCCTCCCTTTGTGGTAGAGAGGTAGAACTTGTTTGCTGTAGTGAGGCGTGGTGTGTGTAGTTAAGTCTTTGCTTTGTGTGCAGCAACAGTTAATACTCTTTAAACCCTCTTTTCAACCTGAACCTTATGTTTAAACACAACATGATTAAACCAGTGCCAACATGACTTTATTTCCCATACATTTATGGAATGGTAACCCGGATGTAAGATAACGTAGACTTGAATTGGATTATTCAGTCAACAATAAGACATTTATCCCTTTAACTTAGTTTCTGGGATTTCACATTTCATAAAAAAAATTAATTGATCAAATGATTCATAATATTGATAATATTAGATGTATTATACTGTGAATACAGAGTAACCCAACTTTGCCCTCTCTGTGCGTGGACATCTTGTCCACTAGCATCCTGCTATCATAATAAACATTGATAATACTGTAAATTAATAACCTACATTTGTCTGTCTGTGTGTGTGTGTGTTGTAGTCACCATGTCACAGGTCCAGCAGGCTATGGCATTGCTCATTGCAGCCTTCCACAAGTACTCTGGCAAGGAGGGTGACAAGACGACCCTGAGCAAGGGAGAACTCAAAGATCTGCTCAACGCTGAGCTTGGAGAGATCATGGGGGTGAGTGGACCCTAGGAACAGTTCAGTTCAATCATGCTTTATTAGCAGCACTACCAAATACAATATTGCTAAAGACAGACACTATTGAAATATTGAATTACTCGGAACATCACAAACACATGCCCCACCTCATCCAATAGAGTAACTTAATCTCTCACACCTTTTATAAACACATAACAACTGTGTGTACTCTAGTTTTAACTGCTGAACTCAGTCTCACCCATTACCTCTCTGTCTATGTTTCTCTCTCTCTCTCTCTCTCTGATCACTATAACAGAAAAACACTGACCAGGCAAAGGTTGACAAGATCTTCAAAGATCTGGACGCTAATGCAGACGGCAGTGTGGACTTCCAGGAGTACGTCACACTGGTGGCCTGCCTCACCATGATATGCAATGAGTTCTTCAGCAAGAAGTGAAACAGCTCTCCCTAGCCACTCTCCAAAGAACAGCAGCTCTTGCTACATGAGTTAATTGATTATAAGATTAGCAAGATCCTCAATGCAGGTTCAGAGGGACAGAGATGCAGGTTTACACACACACACAGAAAAGGGGTTGGGTTGGTTATACACACCACACATAGGTGAAGGACACAGACACTGACCTGTACAAATACAAACATATAGGCTACGATCTCATGAGATAGAGAGGAAGCTCCTTGGTTTGTTTAAAGTGAAAAATGAAATAAACTATTTTAATACGTTTGGAAGAAAGCTGACTTATCATTTGTGCAAGTGTGTGCGTGTTTGTGCATGTGTGGTTGCCTGTGTATGTCCTAAATATGATACAGCAAGCAACATGAATCAAACATTACCTTTGTATTCAGATACCTGGTGAAATAATAAAATGTGTTGATTATGTCAACGTAAACCAAACATACAATGAAATTAGGGGTTATGAGGCATACGCTATATTTGACTACTTAATTACGTCAAAATACTGTTATCTACTCCAGAGCCAGTAAGAATACGGGAAGTCAACTGTTACCTTGAAAGTCCAATAGAGCCACATATAGAACCACCTCCAAGATGAAGCCTCCTACCCAGCAACATGAAACAACAAAGATAATATCCAAGTAATGATACTGTATCTCAGGTCTCCATAGAGAACCTATAGGACAATACTGAAGATTAAAATGAAGATTAGCCATAGTCCAGCAATCGCCTAGTCTTAGTCAAGGCTGCACGAGGAAGTTTGTACATGTCTATCACCAGATGATCATCGCCGCGAGTGAGAACAGGAAGGTAGGGGGAGGGAGCAGCAGCTACATAAAAATAATTGTGTGTAAAGTAGCGCACAGTAGAAGGTAAGCTTGTTCAGGTATCAGGAAGAGGTGTCCTGAGAGTCAGTGGCTGTATGTTTTTAAGTGTCTCAGAGTAGGAGTGCTGATTTAGGATCAGTTTTGCCTTTTTAGATCACAATGAATGATACTACAAGGACAGGGGGGGACCTGATCCTAGATCAGCACTCAGAGGCACTTGATACATACAGCTCCTGGTCACGCAGCCACTCGGTTGAATCTAACACATCTCTATGATGCATTAGTCTTGATCAGGGTTGGGGTCATATGCAGTGGAGTATAGTGGACATATTTTCATGGAGGTCAATACTTGTCATACTGGGAAACTAATTAGCATAAACTCAGTGGCAGTGGGCAGTTAAAGAATGCCACAAACTTTGCCATTGGCTGAGGCAGTGAGTGGGCAGAGGTTGGAATGAGAGGCCGCCTGTATGAGCCTATCAGAGTGCCAGACAGTGGGGTGTGTGTGGGAGAAGTAGAACGGTCTCTCATCATGTGAGAGCCCAAAGACACACACACATGCTCCTCACCACGGAAACGCTTCTCACCTCTGGGTCGTCGTGGAGACGCTCCTCACCTGGACAGGAGACTCCGCCCTGCATAAACCGGAATTATATAGATTAGCCAATCAGACATCTGGTGGCTGGATGGAATAAGGAAATCATCTGCATAGGCTAATCCTAATCCACAAACAAAGGCAGTTTTAATCTGAGATCTTCTCGGCAGGCTGGGCTGGGCTGGCTGGGTCTGTGGGACTGATCCACCAAAGACAATCTATTGGAAGATACCCAGAATCTATTTCTCCAATAGGAATCCCAGATCACGCTTGTGATAGCACGCACATGGATCTAATCTTCCTGTCTCCCATTGACCGCAATACAACCACATGGTGATCTGTTCAACTACTCATGTTCTGTAGTTGTTCGTGGAAGTAATCGTCAGTTGTGCCTCTAAGTTTAAACCCTCTCTGACTCTCTACCCACAACAGGTAGTGACTGGCTTTTGCACAGAAGGCTGTAGTGAATGGAGGTGGATGAAAGCGCCTCTGATGTGGTTTAGATAATCTATTGTCTGCTGTTGGCTGTCTGGTGACAAGGAGGCTATTTTTGGTCAGTCATGTTCGGTAGTGTGAAGAAAATCATCTCTCTGTTTGAGACTCGTCGGCAGCCCCGCCCCCTCTCTCTACCTCCTTCCCTCCCTCCATCTCTCTCTCCATCTCTAACTCCTTCCCTCCCTCCATCTCTTCCCCAATCCCTCCCTTCCTCTCTGTCCTCTCTCAGGTCCAGTAAACAAGCCCCCCAGTCCCCCTCAAAGAGACACTCCTCTCCTTCCACCTCCCTCTCTGGCTGCCCTTCCTCCCTCTACCCCCATCCCAAACCCAGACCCCCCCTTACCCCCCCACCTGTCCACCAACAACTACAACTTCCGGCTAGATGGAGAGAGGGAGAAGGAAGCAGGGAGGGAGTGAGTGATAGGGGTTGGGGTCATACAGTGCTGAGAGGTCGTGGGGGGGTCAGGGTTAGGGACTCATGGCCGAGCGGACGGCAGGAGCTTCAGATGAGGAACCAACGCTCATCTGTCACCATGGAGATTCCACAACGCTTTAGGACTGCAACAAAACCTCAAAGACAGACCACTACTCAACCCCAACCTCAACCCCAGACCACTACTCAAACCCAACCTCAACCGCAGACCACTCTTCAACCCCAACGTCAACCCGAGACCACTGTTCAACCCCAACCTCAACCCCAGACCACTACACAACCCCAATCTCAACCACAGACTACTATTCAACCCCAACATCAACCCCAGACCACTACTCAACCCCAACCTCAACCGCAGACCACTACTCAACCCCAGACCACTACTCAACCCGAACATCAACTGCAGACCGCTACTAAACTCCAGACCACTACTCAACCCCAACCTCAACCCCAGACCCCTACTCCACCGCAGACCACTACTCAACCTCAACATCAACCGCAGACCACTACTAAACCTCAGACCAATGCTCAACTCCAACCTCAACCCCAGACCACTTCTAAGTCTCAACCCCAACCCCAACCCCAACCTCAACACCAGACCCTGACCAAAGAACTGGCCCCGCTCCCTCCCTGGTCGCTGTGTCTGAAGGGTACACCTTCTGTCCAGAACTCTGAGGCAGCCTTCCTGTCCCTGCTGCTCTTCTGCCACAGGTAACCATGGAAATGGCCTGGCCATTTGTTGTTGGGAGGTGACTGTGTTCAGGAATAGACATCAATGTGAACCATGTGCACTAACACACAATCTCCTTTGTTTTGTTGTTGTTCTTGTTGTTTCAGTGGCTCCAGTAGCAGTAAGATTGCAATTGACAACAAGATTGAGCAAGCCATGGTAGGATAGTGTGTTTATGGTTATAGTGTCTTTATTGTGTTGCATTGAAGGACTTGGTGAACACCCATCTGTTGCTGGAAGAATTGTGACATACATTTGATGATATGCTATAATTACATGTTGTATATTGCTGTAGGACTTGGTGAAGAGCCACCTGATGTTGGCTGTGAGAGAGGAGGTGGAGCTACTGAGGAAGCAGATCAACCAGCTGTCAGAGAGGAACGCCCAGCTGGAGAGAGAGAACTACATATTGAGAGCACTGAGAGACAGACACAGACAATAACGCAAGCATCCACGCACACACACATACACAGAGAGAAGCTAACAGTATTAGTACATGCCTTTCACTTGCATTTATTTAAATTTCCAGGCGAGTCAATAAAGAACAAATTCTTATTTGCAATGACAGCCTGGCTATGATGATGATGATGATGATGATGATGTAGTCTCTTGTAATGATGATGCTGTAGTTATGAAGAGGCCTGGTTGCCAGTCTCTGTAAGGTTCCACTTCTTAGACTATTCCATGTTATGTGCCAATGGCACATAATGAGTGGAAGGTTAGCTAAACAGAGACTGGCAACCAGGCTGAAGAGGGGTTCTGAAAGAGGAAGTGTGAAATGTGCATATTCTCTAATTCTGCACCGCAAAAAATCTGAGTCAAATAAATAACTGTTACTAAAGAAGAGTTTGACTTGTGCCGTAGAGTCCACCACTTACACAAGCACACACAATGTAACATGCACGCCAGGGGGCGCCATTTTGTAATTTCCTACTAATGAAGAAACCGGAAGTGTGATTGTTTCGTTTTGAAGACGGAGTTATGGCGGCGCCAGTGGAGGGAACTTCAAAAGTTAACAGATCCTGCTAAATAGAGTCAATCTATCCTCATGTATTAACAGTGAAAACTACAAGAAACGCGTGAGCTCAGATACCATTCCGGGCGCTTCATCATAACAGTAAGCTGAGAATAAACGACATGATTGAATTTGGATAGCTTTAGTTAACGTTAGCTAGCTAACTAGCAAAACAAACCATATAGCTGGCTAGTAGTACATATAAAGTTAGCTGGCTAACTGACTGGTAAGCTTTCTAGCATGTCGGCTGTCGTCGTTAGCTAACTAGCTGTCTGTGTGCTGAAAGCTCCCACTGTGAAGGGAATCTAGCTAGAGCTCTAGCTAGATAACGTCACATCTTTATATCTGGTTGGAAGTGTAACGTTAACGTTATTCATCCTACGCTACAGATCCAACAACGCTAAGGGACTGCGTTGGGCATAGGACTGAACATGTGTTAAGTTTGCTCCATCGGAAAGGTTTGATTAGGGGGTCTTAAGGTAAGGGTTAAGGTTAGGCAAAGGGATAGTGTAACTGCCATTCAGAACCATACAAAATATTCTGGTAATTGACTGCCTTTGCCTTATATCTTTCCTAAAATCAGTAACAGATCTGTAACCCAAAGACAAAGATCCAGACTGGTGACCTAAGATGACCAGAGCAGGTCCCCTGCAGCAGCGTCCTCTAGCAGGGTGCAGCGACCCAGACATCCGGCTGGTTCCCCTGCCCGCCCCGGTGCCCCTGGTCCCCGCTAGCCCCCTGCGGTGTCCGGAACTGGACCTGTCCCTTCCCCTCAGCCCCGACCCGTCACGGCCCAATCCGGCTAGCCTGCTGAGAGGACGCAGCCACCGGCAGGTCAGTCTGACACAGACACACACCCTGACGGACAGTCACAGATGGTGCTTTTCTCAGTTGTCAAGACAGCTGTAGAAGTGATGAGAGATCTGTGTGTGAGTCTGTGTGTGTTTTTGGAGAGACATCACTGAAATGTGTGCCCCTGACTCTACAGGTGCGATTTGCCTCCGAGGAGCCTGTGGTTGTCACGGTGATAGCAGAGCCTAGCAACGACCCTCCACCTTGGCAACGCCCTGGACACTCCAGCAGTTACTCAAAGGGCAAAGGACTCCATGGTAACTAACCCTCCTGGTCTGGAGTCTGATAAGGTCATGTTCCCCTGCACAGGTGTTGCATGCATCAACCAATGGTTGTGTGCCACGTCATTGACTGTGCCGTCGCACCAGATTGCTATAACATATGATGTGGTTAGCTGATACGTAAAATACCTATCCAGGTGTTGTAGGATCTGGCATGAGTCAGCAATGTCTGAGCAGAGGAACACAACCTGTATGGATGTCTTCCAGATCTGTTTTCTGACTGGTCAATATCTCATTCTGTATTCCTCCCATAGGTGGAGCTCTGCGTAGGAGGGCAAGGTCAGCAACCAATGAGGAGGCTCCCTGTGAGGAGAGGGGTGGCAGCCTCCCTGAAGGGGCAGAGTTAAATACTACTCTGGCTCTGAGGGCTGAGCTAGATGACATGGCAGGGGCAGAGTTTAACTCCCAGAAGGCTGTGCAGGAGCAACTGCAGAAGTCAACCAGAACCAAGAACAGCATCAGCGCCCGGGTTACAGAGGGTAACACACACACACATAGAAACACACACATGCAGACATAAACATATAGCACACACTAACAGAGTGTATGTCCTGTCTTTGTCTATAGGGGTGAATGTCCCTCCATCCCAGCACCTCTACAGGGCATTGGTCAGTGTGAATGTGGAGGAGGAGGAGCTTATCAGCCAGGCTCTACGTGACAGGCTGCAGCTGGTCCCGCCCACATGCAGCCATGGCAACAAGGCAGGTCCCTCTCACTGACCCCATCAGATTACATTTACCCGTGTGTGTCTAAGCAATATGTACATTGAAAAGTCTCATGACCTGCAACTAGTCCATACCTGTATTTGTAAGTGTGTGTGTGTGTGTGTGTGTGTGTGTGAGAGCAGAAAGAGGACGGTCCTGACCTGCAGGTTTTCTTCAGAGGGGATCTGCTGAGAGAGAAGCCCCTCCTACCAGGGGAGGAGATGACCATGCCACGCCCAAAGCCCATCCCACGACCCGCACACACAACCTTTGACCTCTACCACAGACAAACATGCTGGGAGGCCGGACCCTGACACACACACATACTCTGAATCTCTAGACTGAAAGGCCCAATACTTAAGAAAAGCATTATTCCTTATTTCCCTTCCTACTTCCGTCATTCTCTGATGTAAATATTGTATTTTAAACTAATTTAAGATATTAAAGGAATTAACCTGAATCATGTTGAGTGATCTTTACTGCGTATGTGTGTTCTTGAGCCTTTGTTTGTGTGTGTATGAGTTGTGGGTGATGGAGAGCGAGGGAGGAGGTAGTGGTGGATGAGGGAGAGATTGTCCAGGGATCGAAGACAGCTGCAAGGTGAGTACACAGCTTCAATTCACACTGCTAGGTGTGTAGTGTTTGTGTCTCTAACGGGGGTATAGAGAGCAATAGTAATGGTGTCTTTTGTAGGCACTAACAGAGGCTAACTCTGCAATGGCTTGTTGGCCAAAGCCTATGGGGATATGTATGTTTTTTTTGGAGGGTTTTGGGATAAATGCAGATGCATTTATGTAATCAAAACAAGCAAAAGGCTTTATAACTCATAAATGTCATGTTAACTGACTGATATTATACGTATAAGATCTCCTAAGCCTGAGTTAACCTCAGACCTTATTTTCTATGTTTATCCCAAAACGCCATTCTTTCCCCATTCATTTCCCCATAGGAATGGCTGAACGAATCAGAGGTTAACTAGCTTCAGTTTTTTTTTTTACTAAACCTGGCGAGCTCTATAGTGTGTGTATTATGTAGTGTTGGTGTGTGTAACACATTGGTGTAACAGGGTGTGTGTGAGAGATTTTTGTGTTGGTGTGTGATTGCTGACATCGAGCATGTCCTTTCCCTACCACAGGATAGACATGTTTGTGTTTCAGTGGTGGGAACAATTCTATAATTCATTGAAAATGGTACTCCATCTCCCAAATTAACCCAATTGAAATGGAATTGACCCCAAATCACCTAGTTGTGTTGTGTTTTATATCTCCTGGATGTGTGGTTCAGGATCATCTCCGATTAGAATCCATCAGCCTACGTCATCCTTTGCTGTAACCTGGGTGATATAGACCATCCACACTTTCTCTCTCTCTCTCTCACACACACACAGGCACGTTGTACCGTCTCAGCTCATCTCTATCTCTCACACACACCCCAGTCTCTGAGCCCCGGGCATCTCTCTCTGACCATGGACGTGTCAGTGCTGGGCAGTGGGAGCGGCTGTTCAGAGGATTGTGGGGTAGGGTCTGGCTGTCTGGAGGACTGTGGGAACCAGAGTGACCGGACTGACTGGGAACCGGACTTCAGTGGGGCTGAGCTGGTGTGTGTGACGGCCGTGTGTGTGCTGCTGCTGGCCCTGGGCATCACAGGAAATATGTTAACCATCCTGGTAGTTTGGCTCCGGCCACACCTGAGAAGCACCACCTACCTCTACCTGAGTAGTATGGCGATCTCCGACCTCCTCATACTGCTACTGATGCCTTTAGATCTATACTACAAGGTAAGGGGGGGGGGGGGTCTCTCTCTAGCTATGGAGGTTCCCAACCTGTGTTTTAGGTAGCTGATACTGTGTGTGTGTGATTTCTGTTTCTCTCTTGCTAACTGTGGAGGTTCCGGCCCTGGGTGTTGGATGATATAATGTGTTTGTGTGTGTAACCTCTCTCTGTGTCCGTCCCTCTAGCTGTGGAGGTTCCGGCCCTGGGATCTGGGCGATACAGTGTGTAAGCTGAGTGTGTTCGTCAGTGAGAGTTGTACCTATTCCTCCATCCTCCACATCACCGCCCTTTCTCTGGAGCGCTACCTCGCCGTCTGTCGACCACTCACAGCCAAGACCCTGGTCACACGGACCCGCGTCCGCACTCTCATTGGCTGCCTGTGGGTTGTGGCTGTGATCAGCGCCGGGCCGGTGTTTGCTATGGTGGGGGTAGAGGAGCTGGGGGGAGGAGAGGGGGAGAGCGAGTGTCGCTGTACGGACTACGCCGTCTCCTCAGGCCTGCTGGGGGCCATGATGTGGCTCTCCAACCTCTACTTCCTGGTGCCATTGGGCATTCTGGGAGTAGTGTACAGTCTGATCGGCAGGAAGCTGTGGCTCCGCCCACAACGCAGCAGCCGAGACCGCGCCCAGCGACACACCATCAAGATGCTAGGTGAGGCTGTGTGTGGGAGCGAGAGAGTCAGTCTCTGTATTTTAAAGTAACTTTGAGTTGATTTAGTCATGGTATTTGGAGCTACGAAGGGGCCTCCCAGCTCCAACTACTGGTTTAGCCCTCAGCAATACTAACGCTAAGCAGCTATTGTGAACCAACTATATCACACATACAGTACTTAATATTAGCTCTAATTTCAACTCTCTCTCTGTCACTCCATCTCATATTCTCCTCTCTCTCTAGGTATGATCGTGCTGGCGTTTGTTCTGTGTTGGCTGCCGTTCCACGTTGGTCGGACGTTGTTCTCTGTGACTCTGGGCTCCAGCGCTGACATGTACTACGTCTCTCAGTACTTTAACCTGGTCTCCTTTGTATTGTTCTACCTCAGTGCTGCTGTGAACCCTATCCTCTACAACACCATGTCGGCACGCTACCGCCACGCTGTCCGCAGCCTGCTGCGCTCACACACACACTCACACACACACCGCTCCCGCCACACCTCACTCACGCCACAACACTCTACCACCACCCTGTAACTCACGGACACACACACTCATTCGCACACAGAAAACCTTGGAGATGGATGAAGGAATAAGACTTTGTTTAGAGGAACATTGTCTTTAGTGAGACATATTGTCCGATTTATTGTATAATATTTGATTCATATATATTTGCCATTTTGATGACTGTTGGTTCTAAACCCCTGAAGGTGTGTGTGTTCCCAGAGTGATGTGTAATAAACTGTAATTCCAGCCTTTTGTCTTTGTGGTACTTTAGCTCTGGTCTGTCTGTGTGTGTTTGTCACCATGGTGACTGGTAAGGGTAAGAATGGCCCCTGGGGAGTATTGGCGGGTTGGGAGATTGATCAGAGGGGGTTACTGTGATTATTGGTTAATGTGAGGGAGGGAGGGATGTAAGGTGTGTGTATCAGTGGGAGGTTGGAGCCTTTGAGTTGACAGCGTGCTCAGTGTTCCACCTAGTCTCATCACAGACTGACTGATTTAGCAGACTTGACATCTGCAAGCCCACCCACCCCACTCTCTCACACTCACACAGCTCTTGGGAGCCCCCCCCCCCCTCCACTTTGCTATGGCACATTCTAGGAAATCGGTGACATCAATTAACAAGGGAGACAAGGACACCAGTGGCTACTGCAGACCTCCAGGCTCAGATCTGAATATCACAGCAAAGTAGAAATTGGTCTTTATTTTTTCACATCGCAGTACAAAAAGAATCGGTCCTCTACTGTGCATTTTGGAGTATTTTGTACTACTGTACATTTTGAATTTGTGTTACATCTAATCTAAATAAAACATTTGATAATAAACCCTGGACTCTTCACTTGATTCACTTTCTTTCATGACAGACTCACTCAACCTGTCATGATGGAGAGAAAGAAAGAGAAAGAATCTGAAATGTATTTTTATATTATATTATTATATGTCTTTGTGAGACACGGTGTGGGTGAACGGATGATCTCTGCATGTGTAGTTCCCACCGTAAAGCATGGAGGAGGAGATGTTATGGTGTGGGTTGCTTTGCTGATAACACTGTGTGATTTATTTAGAATTCAAGGCACACTTAACCAGCATGGCTACCACAGCATTCTGCAGCAATACGCCATCCCATCTGGTTTGGGCTTAGTGGGACTATTATTTCTTTTTCAACTGGACAATGACCCAACACACCTCCAGGCTGTGTAAGGGCTATTTGACCAAGAAGGAGACAGTTGGAGTGCTGCATCAGATGACCTGGCCTCCACAATCCCTCGACCTCAACCCAATTGAGATGGTTTGGGATGAATCGGACCGCAGAGTAAAGGAAAAGCAGCCAGCAAGTACTCAGCATATGTGGGAACTCCTTCAAGACTGTTGGAAAAGCATTCCAGGTTAAGCTGGTTGAGAGAATGCCAAGAGTGTGCAAAGCTGTCATCAAGGCAAAGGGTGGCTATTTGAAGAATCTCAAATATAAAATATATTTTGATTTGTTTAACACTTTTTTGGTTACTACATGATTCCATATGTGTTATTTCATAGTTTTAATGTCTTCACTATTATTATACAATGTAGAAAATAGTAAAAATAAAGAAAAACCCTTGAATGAGTAGGTGTGTCCAAACTTTTGACTGGTAGTGTATATTTAATAAAAAATATATGGGGGATTGGAAATAATGCAGACAATTACGTTGATGGAAGCTACAATCTATCTGCAGTATTAAAGCTGATCCCCCTAAAATAATAATAACAAATAACAAAATAAGGGGGAAAAAATACCATTCTCATCTCCCCTCCCCTGTCCTTCACACTTGGGGCGTGTTCAGCAGGACATAACATTTTGGAAAGTTCAGATAGAAATTGTTATGTAGAACAAACATGCCTTTTTCGACATGCAAAAACAAGGAATACAGTGAGTATTTGATCCCCTGCTGATTTTGTACGTTTGCCCACTGACAAAGAAATGATCAGTCTATAATTTTAATGGTAGGTTTATTTGAACAGTGAGAGACAGAAAAACGCATGTCAAAAATGTTATAAATTGATTTTTGCATTTTAATGAGGGAAATAAGTATTTGACCCCCTCTCAATCAGAAGGATTTCTGGCTCCCAGGTGTCTTTTATACAGGTAACGAGCTGAGATTAGGAGCACACTCTTAAAGGGAGTGCTCCTAATCTCAGTTTGTTACCTGTATAAAAGACACCTGTTCACAGAAGCAATCAATCAATCAGATTCCAAACTCTCCACCATGGCCAAGACCAAAGAGATCTCCAAGGATGTCAGGGACAAGATTGTAGACCTACACAAGGCTGGAATGGGCTACAAGACCATCGCCAAGCAGCTTGGTGAGAAGGTGACAACAGTTGGTGCGATTATTCGCAAATGGAAGAAACAAGAACTGTCAATCTCCCTCGGCCTGGGGCTCCATACCAGATCTCACCTCGTGGAGTTGCAATGATCATGAGAACGGTGAGGAATCAGCCCAGAACTACACAGGAAGATCTTGTCAATGATCTCAAGGCAGCTGGGACCATAGTCACCAAGAAAACAATTGGTAACACACTACGCCGTGAAAGACTGAAATCCTGCAGCACCCGCAAGGTCCCCCTGCTCAAGAAAGCACATATACAGGCCCGTCTGAAGTTTGCCAATGAACATCTGAATGATTCAGAGGAGAACTGGGTGAAAGTGTTGTCGTCAGATGAGACCAAAATGGAGCTCTTTGGCATCAACTCAACTCGCCGTGTTTGGAGGAGGAGGAATGCTGCCTATGACCCCAAGAACACCATCCCCACCGTCACACATGGAGGTGGAAACATTATGCTTTGGGGGTGTTTTTCTGCTAAGGGGACAGGACAACTTCACCGCATCAAAGGGACGATGGACGGAGCCATGTACCGTCAAATCTTGGGTGAGAACCTCCTTCCCTCAGCCAGGGCATTCAAAATGGGTCGTGGATGGGTATTCCAGCATGACAATGACCCAAAACACACGGCCAAGGCAACAAAGGAGTGGCTCAAGAAGAAGCACATTAAGGTTCTGGAGTGGCCTAGCCAGTCTCCAGACCTTAATCCCATAGAAAATCTGTGGAGGGAGCTGAAGGTTTGAGTTGCCAAACGTCAGCCTCGAAACCTTAATGACTTGGAGAAGATCTGCAAAGAGGAGTGGGACAAAATCCCTCCTGAGATGTGTGCAAACCTGGTGGCCAACTACAAGAAACGTCTGACCTCTGTGATTGCCAACAAGGGTTTTGCCACCAAGTACTAAGTCATGTTTTGCAGATGGGTCAAATACTTATTTCCCTCATTAAAATGCAAATCAATTTATAACAATTTTGACATGCGTTTTTCTGGATTTTTGTTGTTGTTATTCTGTCTCTCACTGTTCAAATAAACCTACCATTAAAATGATAGACTGATCATGTCTTTGTCAGTGGGCAAACTTACAAAATCAGCAAGGGATCAAATACTTTTTTCCCTCACTGTACATGTAGGCTCTATTCATGGCATTTCTATCTGCAACGTTGGACAATGTTTGGCAACTGAACGTGGCACAGGTAGCACTAGCCTATCACCTGGTGTGTATTCATTAGTCAGATTCTGTTGCAAAATGTTTTGCAACAGAAACTGTTCACTTCAAATGAAAAAAGACTTTGCAATGAAAACTAGAGTTTCTGTTGAACAAATTCAGGAAGGTCCCTCCCTACTTCGTTCCGTTTGCTCTGTTTGCTTCTGTTTGGTGACTAGAGTAAACGGTTTCCATTGCAAAACGTTTTGCAATGGAATCCGACTAATGAATACACACCCCTGATGCCTCACATTGGCCAGGTAACCCACACACATAACCAGGCACATGCACCTGACCTTTTATCCTCCAGCTATGAGAAAAGTGCTCTTTCAGATTGGTGGTATTTTTTTATTAATCATTTTATATTTTATGCTTATACTCTTCCCCCTCTTGTAACTTTAAATGTAACGAATTTCCCATTGAACAGAACATGGCTAGCTAATTTCTGATAAGATTTGGAATCTTGGAAAATTCCAGCCTCATGAGCAGTGTGCAGTAGTGATGGGAAGTTTGGCTCTTTATACTGACTCTGATCTTTTCAACTTGTTCAGTCAAAGGAACTAGTCATTTTGTTCATTTGATTCAGTTATGCCCAGGACACGCAGGACTGAGAGGAACGACCAGTGAACAATTAACTAAAAATTCATACGATTATTTGTTGATACCTTTGAAACAAGGTCTAGTTGTGGCTTGCCTGGTTACCCAAACCTCTTGCTCCCGCCAAATGCTACACCATGCCCACGGACGTTAGTTTCTTCTCTGCAATGAGTCTGGATCTGAGTACCTCCCCGACAATTTGTAGAACGCAAACACATTCTAACTGTTCTGAATGGTCCCAGAAACCAATGGTCCAACTCGAGGTGCCATAAACAAAAATGCACCCCCCTCCCCAATATTACAAATATTTTTACTTGACCCTCCCCTTGTACTGTTTAAAAATATTACACACCTTCTCCCCTCATAAAATGTACTCTCAAATAATTATTACCAGCATAAATAACAACAACTGTAGCAACCGATGCCACGCAGGGCTAACGGGCCAGAAGGTTGAGGGTCCGATGACCACCACGGACGAGCTCACTCTCCCTGCCTGTCTCATTACACCACAATCAGAGCCAACTGCAGACAATGATCAGCTAAGGGGAAGTCATATTTTCAACATTTTGGTGCTATTTTTATAATTATATAAAATAAATGCCAAAAGAATGCACCAGACAAAACCAATAAGCAACGCATAACTGCATACAGATTACTGACTTCGAGCGCTTATCATCATGGTTTGTGTTTTCAACACCACAATCAAGTAGAGTATGTCAAACTTGAAAACAGAAAATACATCCTTCCCTCCCTACTCAGTATTGAAGGCTTGGTTTGACAATCTCCTAATGTCATTAAACTTTTTGGTGTTTTGTAACATATGTCTCTTTCCATTAATCCAATGGAAAATTGCACAGTTTGGATGCTGAAATTATTT